GGTGCAGCTGGTGGTGGCGCGCCCTCTGAACAAGCACATGCATCTTACTCTTTCTAATTCTACTCTACGCATCCAAGGACTGACGGTGAGCCTCGTCTGGGCATTCCTCTTCTCGATGGAACGTTGGCTTGCTCGCGTCGTTAACGTGAGAGACGTTGAAAAATATGAGAAGTATTAGAGATAATGCAGAATTGGCAACACCAAAAGTAACGCAACGGTTAGAGTCTAAATAGAAATAGAAACATCGATACTCGATGGATTGATAGTCTAGGTCAGAGGTGGCCAACCCGCGGTCCGCGAGATTCATCACACTTTTACAAAATATATTTATTTTATAATGGCCAAAGTAGTGAAAATCAATGTATCGGGTTGTCTGGAAAGTCCATGCCGATTTTTAGTAGGCGGTACAGGTCTGAATATATCGGAATGGTTGAAAACAAATAACATGTGGACATCCCTTAAAAGGTGAAAAAATTGTGGAACAAAATGGTACGTATATAATTCAATAAATATATATCGAAATTCAAACGTGTCTTTGAATGTTTCTTAAAAATTGGCACGAACTTTCTGGACAACCCGATATTAAAAATATACATTAATTTTGCATCCATATATTCATAAGTTAACTGTCGAAATTATGAGAAAAAATTAACTTTGATTTTGAAATAATAATTTCACAGAAAGTTTTCACAAAACATGGTCGAAAAATGCCAAGGAGCGCTGCCATCGATTATGTGTCGAAAAAAAATGAAGAGCTGAAGAGCAAACAAATGTCTATAATGGGTCTAAATCTAATACAGGAATTCATAATTCTATATGCTTATATCAACAAAGTTATAATGTATTTCGAAAGTGGCCCGCGAAATCATTTGGGTTAGCCACCCCTAGTCTAGGTAGAATACAAATAGTGTTACGATATAACAATACGGTCACGATACTTTTGGGATTGCTCTGTACAGACGATATCGATGAAAATACTATTGTTACAATAATATGCTAGTAATATACTGAAAGACATCACGATCGATGATTGAAGGAATCTGTGAGGGTGTTTAGAATCGATGTACTGACCAGCTGGAGGCGCGCCCTCCGCAGGGGCTGGTGCTCCTTCCGCAGGAGCCGCCGGCGGAGCTCCCTCTGCCGGGGGTGCTGGTTCTGGCGTTGGCGTTGGTGATGGTGCTGGTGGTGCTGGAGCTGGTTCCTGTGGTGGAGGTGCTGGAGCTGGAGTTGGCTCAGGCTGAGGCGAAGGTGTAGGCGCGGGAACTTCTGGCGGTGGTGGTTCCGGTGTGGGCTGCTCTTCCTACGTGGGAACAATGCGTGCGTCAACGCGTGCAGAGTTTAACATTGAGATCATGCGATCATTATTTTCTAACGGTTGATTCAGAGATGAGCAAAACTATATTCGAATAATGTATGATTGAAATGAATGTGTAATGGTTTAATCGCGACGTTTATTCAATTGAACAGTTATCATTGACTGGGGTTAGTTGTAAATCCCGGCTTCAAGGCTTGTACAAAATATAGAATAACGAATGCGCTAACAGCTTAATATTTGAACATCAAGTCCCGTAATTCTAGCGTCGAATGAATTACGTTGCTTTCTCGTTACACGTCATTGCGATCTAGATAAGGGGTATGCCCATCTCTGAACCCGGATATTCGTATCGTTTACGTTTTGATGCAAACATACCGACCGCGATTTAAACAATCGGAAATAATGATAAAACGCTCGTTTTTTCCCGTATGCGAACGTGACATAGTTTATTTACTCTCGTGTTTACCTGAGCGGAACGCAGTGAACGCGATCGGGATAAAATTTCGTTTGCAGCGACGTGACACGTCGACGGCACGCGCGTTAAATTGCATGATTTACGACCGCTGTGCGCGTCCTCGCAAATGTACTTGCATTAAACAGGCGTTTATAGATACGCAATTTGTCCTTGCGAGCGATAATAGCATCGGTGTTGCTCTGCGCGGGAATGTAGGTTGCCGAGACTAATCGAAAGTTACAATTTTATTTTCTCGTGTTCAATTTTTTTTAACTTGGCGAGTATCAGCGAGGGGCAATTAGACAGAGTAAATCCATTTATGTTTGTTATTGGAAATACCACGGTACAAAGTACGATTGAAAAATTGGTTAAGTAATCGATAACGATTGGAATGTACCATGTATAAAGTTTCATCGGGTTACGATGAGTGAGTAATGAAATAATTCCCGATCGATACGAGTGCGCAACTACAAAGCGTAAACATTACACGGCTACGTAGCGAATCCATGAAAAAGCTCTGTAGCGAATCGTAATTAAGCAGAAATTAATCAACGAAGCACCTACCGTGCCTGTTGTTTGCCTAAAATAGAATCGATCCGAGGATTCGCTAGTGAAATGTAAAACCGAACGATTCGTTAACAATGTCGTTTAACAAACGTCCGATGATGCGTCATCCGTTTACGACGCCGACGCTATTATTTACTGTAGCGCAACGCCATTCAAATGTGCATGACGAAGTTGACCCGCGTTGTCCTTCGATAAGGTTGGATTACTCATTGCGTGCAACGATATCTCAGACCGATGATATACATCTCAAGAGCAACACATTCTTCGATGAAGAATAAAAAACAACTTTTATATTCTAAAGAGTACTCTACACGATTCATTTAGATTCATGATTTATCGATCAAAGATGGTACGATTCAAGTCGGTGTCGCGCACATTTGACTAACTCGACAGCAAAAATGAACAAAAATTTGCATAGAACTGAACGACGGTATTTCAAATTGTTATCTAGGAAAGATTGAAACAGAAATAAATTGATGCTCTGCGCGAGTATACTCGTCGAATTATTTTGTTTTTGTCGTGCTCAAGACTAGTTAAATCGCATGAGCTTATTGCTAATGAGTTAATGAGTTAATTTGAGCTCTTTCCTACTTAAAAAGCTCATGCCATTTAACTCGTCTTGAGCACGACAAAAACAAGATAATTTGACGAGTATACTCACGCAGAGCACCGAAAAGGTTAATGCATCGTCGGTATTTATGGGATTCTCGTAAAATTTCTCGGAAGGATATGCACGATTGTGCATATATACTCTATCATTTGATACGGTTCGTCGTGTGTTTGAACGCGAACGTGATCGTCTCTAGGAGCAAAGGTTCGAGCATGGTAAAAGTCTCGCTCCTTGCTCGAAGACTGATAATCGCGTTGTAATTGAGCCGTTCGTGGAATTAACGACGGTATTAAGACGCACGACTCTCAACATTGATTCGAATACGACAGAGGTGTTATTACCTCCGCTCTAACATTTGATCGAATCGAAGACGTCGGTTTTCGTGGGGAACTAGTCGATTCGACGATAACGACGTGGAGCTTGTATATAATCCTGTACCCACGTTTTGCGAGGTTCATCGTTCACAGTGAAAGTAAAAGGTACACAGGGTTCGTAACCTTTAAGCGCGAAAAATAACAGGTTTTTACTGAAATTACGGTTATCAGGCTCGCCATGTGTCGAAACCGTCGTCTTCGATCATCGATCCACGGAACGAAGGAAAATCACAGAGATGGAGAAACAATGGACACGTGGAAAATGGATGATTAAACGCACACATGGAGTACAATGTTTTTTTTTTTCATTGTCGTTAAATACTTTGCTTTACAATAAACCTTAAATAACGGTTCCCATTCTTGCTATCTCGTTGCGTTTCATTTCTCCCTTCATCTGACTCACAGAAAATTACATGTACTTGGAGGGCTCACGAGTAAAAAATAAACCAACATCGACAAACGGAAACGAATGATACAGGGTTTTGTTCCTTTTTTTTTTTAAAGAAAGTATACATACATATATTCTGGACGAGAGTCAGTCACAAAATTCTGAATTCTGGATTAACTCTTCGCTGGATTGCGCGAAGATAAACGTGTAATTTGGGGAATCTTCGTGGACAAGACAGAGACAACGTGATTTCTGCGTGCAAATCGGGAATATACGTTCATTAATGACAATTAAAAAAAAAAAAGAAAGAAACGATAGAACGAAAGAAGTGACAGTGAGGAAGTTTTGAGTTCTTGCGTCGAGATGTTATCGGGTTGGTGGATGGACGATCCCTTCTCGAAAACGTCGAGAGCGAGTTTCAGTTTCTCTCATGCCTCCACCTCTTCTTCCTTTACCTTCTTTTCCTCGCCCTTCTTCGACCAGTCGGGTTTCTTCTGCAAAATTCAGAACACAAGCGTGAGTGGTCCGTGATTTGGCGAAAATTCGCACACGCCAGGTCTTTGGTTAGCTAGGTCAAGGTAAACCTTCGCAAAGCGGGGGTAACGCGCCTGGGAAATCTTCGTAAGGTAACGTTCTTCCAGAGGCAGAGACAGGAAAAATTGTATTCGTTTCTAACGTGGAACGTAAACTTCATTTTGTGACTCAAACTCTTATTCCTATCGAAGAATGAAAATTGATCCTTTACGAGTTATTTGCAATCTTCATCCTGATGAGAATTTCGCCTGTCTCTTTCAACGGTGACTTTTCGCGTAAAAAAATCGATCACGTTGAATTATCAAAAAAATTGTTCGTGTCCACCTAGAATTTTGTTCAACAGGCATTGCCAAATCCACTTTGTTTCTCCAACGTTTCGACAATGTATCTTCTCTGTTCGTCATCCAGAAAGCCGTGCAAGTTGTTAGTGAAAAATGTCGCGAGAGAAGAGTTTGAGAGAAAAAATCACGAAAAAGAAACGATTCGAGTAATTCCGTGAATAACAAGATACATTCGTCGACAATATTCGAAGCTCGAACGTCAAAAATAAGTGTTCGCAAAATAAAAAGTGGGACAACGTGTACGCGAAACCGATGGTCGCATCGTTAAGGAACATAAGCTTTCTCTATAGCTATCCTATCGTCTTCTGTGCATCGCTCTTTCACACAATCCCTGCAAAATTCTATGTCTTTTCTAACACACGCACACTCTCCCCTAAAGAAGCATGCCGATCTACGAGTTGATCGTTAAAGCTTTACCTTATCTTTTGACGCGTTCTGCGAACATAATGCAAGAGCAACATCATTAGTCAACAGATAAGACGTGGACAATTATTAGAGCATACGTACTAATTAATAACTTAACGATTAACAACGCGTCGCTCGCGATTCATGGACGATCAAAGTCTCCGTTACACGCGACTCGCGTGCTGCTATCGATCGTGGAAACTTCGATCGCCGCCGGCATGACTCACGATCGACGGTAGTGGCAGGATCGAACCGCGCATCGACTAGTTCTTTTCAAATACTCTACAGAAATTGATATTTCGTATTAAATGTATTTTAATCGAATATTCCAACGGTGTGATGTGCTTGTTTTCGAATTGAAATATGTCGTGAGATATTTGAGGATTCCATAGATCCTCATGCTACTAACTGAGGTTTCTATAGATCCTCATGCTACTAACTGAGGCTTCCATAAATCCTCACGATACTGACTAAGGCTCCTATGGATCCTCATGCTACTAACTGAGGCTTCCATAAATCCTCATGCTACCAACTGAGGCTTCCATAAATCCTCATGCTACTAATTGAGAGTTCCAGGTGTATCTTACTCAAAGGTATACAGTTTACACCTGGATGTCTCAGTTAGTATCAAGCACAACATACATCAACTTCGAAAGTCCCAGTAATCGCTAAAGATTTCCTGTTTCCAAAGTCGACACCATCCTCAGAATTTTAATAATAAAAAAATAAATAATCCATAAAAGAAAACAATCACGAGGCTCGATGCGCGGTCGCGATTAAACAAAAATTCAGACGGGACAACAATCCTACACATGTACAGCCTGGAAGCATGGCAGCCGAACGATGGCGGTAAAGGCAAGCTGCAAGAGAGCTTTATTGCGTCTTGGAAAGAGATTTTAAGTGAAAGTGATCAGCCTTCGTTTGAATGTGCCCCTTTGAACCTTTCTTAAACTTGCGCAGCACACGACAATCATTTCCCTAACTGCGGTGTTTTGCGTGGGGGAGCCTGCGCGCGATCAACGCGTAAAAAGAGACGCAAAAGATAAACGAAAATGAGTGCAGACACAGTAAATAAATGAATAATTAGAGTAAGTGATAGAAACAGAGATAGAGAAGAGTGAAAAGGCACTTGTGAGTAAAGCGCTTCTGCTATTACGTACGAAATGAGGAAGAAAAGTCTGTGAGTTCTTAAATATACTTTGTAAGCCATTCTCACCTTTTATCGCTTCTCTTATATGTATATATTTTTTCTCTTTTAATAGTTACTTTTACCGAGTATTGCGTGCTTGTCGCGCAGATTACCGAGTTATAATAGAGAGAGAGAGAGAAAGAGAGAGATAGGTAAAGAAGAAAACGACAGCGAGACGCGAGTTAAAAAGCAAATTACAGCGTAGACGCGATCATCGACGATGACTCTCGAATGGTATCGTCACGGAAGATTGAAACGTGGATAGAAAGAAAAGAATTCAAAGCGCGGAGAAAAAATTAGTGGAGCAGAGCGGATCGGTTCTCGATAACACTCGATCCCTCGCGTTATCGAACGCCATATGGATTTCTGGACTGAAAAAATAGTCGTCTTTGGCGGCCATCGCGAATCGAATCGCAGTCGAGCATGGTTCCGTATGCAAAATAAATTTTTGGAAAAAAAATGTACATCCAATCCCTTTCATACAGTTTTCAAAACAACGGAATTTCTAAAACCGAAAACTATCGGAAAGTAACAATTTACGCTGCGCACATGTTCGTTCAATTAGTTTCCAGTATCGTTCGTTTGGCAACGATAAGTGAATTCCCTTCATTTTTTTATATACAAAACGGAAATCGAAAACCAAAACATTGTTCTGTCGAATAAAAAAAATTCACCCGCGAATGTAAAAGTTGTCGTGTCGTTGAAAAAGGGTTGGAAATGCGAGAAATGATATTCGACGAAAACATGTGGCTCCATTGACATGCACTTTTTTCGATCATTTATTGAAACACAGATATTCCCTTTCTTGTTATTTCTCTCGTTTCGTAACTCGCGATCCGATCATCGACGAGTCGAGGAAGAGACCCGAATTATAACCTGACTATCGTACGTGCAATCTACTATTTGCTCGCGGCACGATCCATGCTGTACAGTAAAACGAACGAATTTTTTGCGAACGGTTCGAGGGTGGGAAATAATGGCGAAACAGATCACGTTGATAAACGTGCGGTAATCGTCGGATGTGACAACGAAGGAAAACATTTCTCCAGAGTGTGTATTGGTCGTGGCTTCCTGACATTCGCGCTTCTCTTTTCGATTCTGCGCTGTTTACGCACGGTTCGAAATAAAAACGCGTGCACGCGGACGTTACTTTATACTTTATGCGTTTGTGGATACTAAAGCTCTTTCAACGTTACATTGTTATTACATGTTCTCTGTGTACGCGTGCGTTTGTGTATCGGTTTCATTCAATCTCTTTTTTTTTTTTATGGTTGTTTTCGTTTTATCTTTTGGCTTTTTAAAATCTACTTCTTCGTCTGCCACTCTGCCTTCTCGGACTTCTTGGGCTGTGGAGAACAACACAATTGCCTAGTCAACTATCGCTACTACTGGGGGCGGGGATTGTACATGTACGAAAAAATGGAAGGGTCAAAAATACGGTCCCTCTAAGGAGATCCAGAGGATGGCGATACTAAACCCTGCGACGTACGACTTCGCGTGGATTTCAATTGTTCCCCGCGGGATCTCCATAAAGGGATGAACGGTGAACAAAATACTACTGATACAAGGGAAAAAACCTGCCAATTGGGTTTTATACACGGAAAGAAAACCAGAGCCACAAAAACTGTCTTTCTCAATGGCTGCAAAAAAAAAACGTAAGTACAGGCCCGCCCGTCGCATGGCGAAAAAAATTGAAATTCACGCCTCGATCGTGTCGTTCCATGGGAATGCAAGACCAATTTCGTGGAAAGGTCACAACAACCGATGCATTTCATATTTAAAGAAAAAAACAGAAATTGTTAACCCTTTGCACTCGAAGCCTTTTTTTCTGGTATCTACCAGCAACTCGAGATGCTTTCTTCGCATTCTATTGCCACGAATGCTAAGATTATATTGACTTCGAAAATGAGATCTCTAATTTCAGATTTAAGAATCAGATTACCTTTGCCTCAACGACAATCATTTTATTGGCACTTTGAGTTTCAAAGAAATTAAACCTAAAGAAAACCTAGTGGAGAGTCACCTCTCGAGTGCAAAGGGTTAATAATTCTGGTGAGAAAATATCCTTCCAAGCAGCCTATTGCTTCCATTATAGGATTTCATATAAAGATATTTTTCTTGAATTTTTTTAAAAGAAGAAATGAACCAGCTGTGAACTGAGGCTATGATTTGTCTGTCTCGCACAGTAATCGAAAAGTAAAAGACGTCTTGAAACGGAACTTTGCATTTCAATGAAGTGCGACCGACGAGCGTGATTCGTCGAGCCCGAAAAATACAAAACGGGACGAACCATCGACGGGAGGGGGGGAACAGTCTACGTAAAAAATGAGAGCATCGATTGATCCTATCGAAAACGATCGTCCTTACCTCCTTATCTTCCTCCTCGAGGGTGAATTCCTTCTTCTTAACCTGTTTAAGCTGGTTACGGAAGTTGAACTCGGCAGCCTTCTTCTGGAGCTTGGCGAACTTGTTCTCGTACTTCGAGACCTTCTTCAGCGTGGGTTTCATGCTACGGCGAGAAACGAATAGATATTGCTTGCAAAGAAAACGCTCCAGAAATAAAGAATTCATTGCGAAAGTAACGCGAGCCCAGGTGACGCTTATCAATATTTCTCAAAGCGCAAAAGTTTCTATTCTCGAGAGGGTGGAAAAGTGAGAAATCAATGTAGTATTCGCGTCTCCCATACCCAAGAATAAAGAGTCAAACGAGAACACGAAACGTAGGCTACGGCAGGCTTTTATTTAATGTATATTGTAGCCTCCTATTTTGTATCGACTGTACCTTTTTTAAAACAATAAACATTTCATGAAAAAAAAAAAAAAACTGTGGATCCGAGGATCGTGGATTCGAATCCCCGTGCCTTATTTTTCATTTAGACTCCTACATCAATTTTTTCAATTTCAACCCTTTTCGTATCTCGACAAAAAAAAACACGTGGACTCGCCCAATTTTCGTAACAAATCACGGTAACTATGACAAGTATCCAGCAGAGTAAAACAATAAATCGAAAGGTCTACTTACAATTTACCTCGGAGGTCGTTCACTTGGCTGTTCAAGTCCGCGATCTGCAGCGATCGAAGTTTTCGATTAGTTTTACCGTTCGCAGAGACCATCGGCGATTACGATCATGCTTCCATCGAATTTTCATCGCGAGAAACTAGGAAACCGAAGGAACGACGCCCGTTGGAAACTCGGACGCGTCTTTAAACGGATGGAACTTAATTGAAGCGATTAATTCCAACGTAATCGTCCAAGGTATTCCAAATTTCCATCGTGAGGTTTCCAGGGGCGAACGTTCCTCGGTGATACTCGAAAACGGGACAATTCGTACTCAACGAAAGGGAACGCTTTCCCTTTGAGACAATAAACAAACAAAAAAAAAATAGAAAAATAGCAAACTTTCGAATAGCGAACGCAACGCCACACAAAGCATCGACGTTTCCTTTAATCACGATACACAGAACGCTTCACAGAAACCGAAAACACATGTGTTAATTAAGAAAACAAAAAAAAAAATGACATACAGATACGTACATGGTAGATAACGAAAGAGCAGTAATCGATTAGTGGACGAAAGAACGAGTGAACGCGGTACACTAGCAGAAATTAGCATGCTACCTGCGTGCCAAAAGCAGGCGGGAGTGGTTGGGTGGGTTTTACACACGGACTTGCAGCGAATACAGAGATATATTCGGCCGGAGACACTCGACGAGTCGAGATTGACGGTAAATTGGCTTGCTGATTAACTGCAATGCCATGTAACGGTGGCTGGATGGGCGTAGATGGGACAAATGTCCGCGACCCGGATCATAGAAAAGGTCGGGGGGATGGGGGGTCGCGTTGGAAAAAGTTGACGAGGTCGTTGCGCAAGAGAGAAAAGGAATAAAGACGATCGAAAATGACTAGCGAATAGATCGAGCTTGTACACGTATTTGCCTCCTGAGCGCTAACCTCGCAGACAAGTAGCAAATAAAAAGACGGTGGAGGTAAGCTATTGCCGATGGATATCGATTGTTACGTATTCGCAGGAGTCTCCATACAGGGGTCGCGAGTAATAACGTCCGAAGCACTGATTTTATGAAGTCGTGGTACAGGAGAAGTATTCCTCCATTTCTTTTTTTTTTTTCGTGAAGAATTGAGTCGATCGAGTTAGTTCTAGGTCAACTTGTTGGTACCTTTCTCGATAACTGTGGATCAAGAGAAGATGAATTCAATGACACATGGTACAATAAACGCCTCAGAAACGAAGCACACGATCAGCATCTTCATTGTACCCAAAGGATCCTTCCAGAGGAGCTCTGGAAGGATCCTCTGGGTCTCTCTTTCCACGCGAAGAATACGCTCGTTAATGTGTTTCGTTTCAGATCTCAAAGATCACCATGTATCATTCAATTCGTCTCCTTTTATTCAGCAAATTATTACTTTCATACCAGCACAATAAAAAGAAGTAAAGAGGATTAAAAAGAGTAAAAAGAGGAATAAAATCAGTAGCGCAGCCGTTATTTCGACACTTGGACAGAGACACCCTGCGCACTGGGTGAATAAATAACGTCGATAGCTATTCTTCTCTCGGTCGATCGTTTCACGATGAAATCGGAATCTTACCGCGAAGGTTTTCCCTTCGTCTTCGGAAAAGTGGCCGCTTTTTCAAACAAATTTATTTTTTTGCGTCTTCAAATAGCTTCCTCGAAGGTAAAACTTCCCGACGGAAGCCACTTGTCGGATTCTCTCATCCCTCGCCGCCCGGCGCCCGGGACGTTCGAGTCTTCTCCTTTCCCGGTTTCGTTTCTCCCTTTGGCGTTCATCGCGCCAGAAGGAGAGCGAAACAGAGAAAACGTGAACGCGGGAGAGAGACAGGCGCACCTGCGCACACAGCGAAACGAAGAGGCTAGGGAGGAACGAGAGGGACAAAAGGATAGAAAGGATCGGGCAATGATAGGATATGAATTTCATTCTGGCCAATCAGAGGGGGCGAGAGGGGCGGGGAAGGGGGCTGGTCACGATCAGCTCTTTTTGTCCACAGAGGGTAAAGAGAACAAAAAAAAAAAAAATGTAAAACGTCCACTACAATCCCTTTCCTGGACCGATGGAATTCTGTTCCTCTCACTGTTCGACGAATCGCTAATTCATTCGACTGGAAATTTAATCGGATCTTCGTTCAATGAACAATGCCCTTGTTATCGAACGCAACCAGGTTACTCGCTGGAATGTCTAAAAATTCGATGTTTCGGGGGAAAATGTACGCGTGCATACATTTCGCGTACAACCGTAGCGAACAAGTAAAGAGACAAAGGGTGATTGTAGACCGTTCGACGATTTTGATTAGGGGAGGAACAGATTTCCGCCAGAAAGGATCCGCTATTTACAGGCCCAATTGAACACCATGACAAGAGAGGACACTGACAGTCGGTGGTGCGTGCGAATCGGTGCAAAATCAATTTCGCTCGTTCCCATTTCGACATCGTAGACGCGTGTACGTGTTCGCTTTCACGTCTCTTTCACGAGGACAAAAGGGGTTTCGGGGTTTCGGGGGTAGAACAACAGAAAAAGAAATCCGTATTATTTTCCTTTTTTGTTTCTTTTTTTTTTTAACTCTTCTTTCACGTCACAGAGGAAACATTTACAAGGGAGTCGTTCAGACGAACAAAAACATAGAGGGTGAGAAAAAATTGGGGTTTGTTTGGCGGGTGGGCGGTGGCCTGGAGAATTTCACAGCATGGCACTTCGGTCTCGTGATCTCTTTAATCCGGGGCCTCGAGACAGTCCACCTTCGTGAGAGTTAAACAGTGGAACAGAGATAGAAAAAAGCGTGGAGAAAGGAGGTGACAACCAGCTACATTTTCAACGGGGAGATACGAGAATGTGAGAAACGAGAACTCTTTCCAAACACTTGATCAAAACTCTGAAAAAGGGGGGCGGGGGTGAAAAAAAGGGGACGGGCGGGCAGCAAAAGTCGTAACAGGCGGGTATCGTTCTACGTACCTACTCTACTCTTGCTAGCGTGATACAACATCGACATTACGTGGCGTATTTACTATGTACACTAAGCTTGATTCTTGCTTGAATTTGAATAATACAGTAATTCGTAAACAAGCTTCGAGTCGTAAACAAACCATTGTGTATGTTTCGATTATATACATTCTCAAAACGTCTTCGAGCATCCTCGATCTTCTATTATATAGAGGATCAAGAAGGCCCGAGACGCCTTGAATATGTACATATTCAAAATAAAACCAACAGGGTTACCTCTTGTTGTTTACGTAAACGTTTATCGACGCTTCCCAGAGTATTTCTTTGATACTTCTCGCGCGTGATAATTCTCGGTCGTCGAACACGTGTTCTTCTCGTCGGAAAAAGATTTGTAAAATAAAAATCGTAAATAATGCATTGTCTCTTATTTTTCTTCCCTCGCGGGGAATATGAAGTGCCATACTTCCCTCTGACGATGCGGTGATAGTTATGATCGCATGGCTTTCGCGTGGAAAACGTGACGAGCCTCTTAATTATAGGCTGTTCTCCTCGCGATCGGCCGAAATCGCAGATGGACAAAATTATTCAGATCAAAATGTCGAATAACGAACGAAAAACACTACTAGTTTATTCATTTCAAATCAAACAGAACGTGGTATTAAAAATTCAAGACTTGAACTGATTAAGCATCTCGAATAAATTGCTTCGCGTTGGTCTCATTCGGTGTCTATTATTCGAACAAAATTGTGCCCATCTTCGGCCGAAATGAAGTGAATAGAAAAAATTTGCGGTGACTTCTGCTGTAGCGTGAAAAGTTGTTCCATGCTGTTAATCTGAATATCAGCAGCCCAAAAGAATAATCGAATGATACGATGCGTCGATTTATCGTGGCCATGAACGTTTGGAAAATTGTTTAAAAATATCGTGAAGATTCTCCTCGAAGACGCATTATTCCAAACATTGGCGAAGGTTGCGCAGAATCAAGTATGAAATTCACAACGATCGATCCTCTTACCGTGAGCTCGCAAAATCCTTCGTAGTCGATCGATTCGGATCCATATGGGAATCCCATGAACAATTTCCTGACGGTGTTAGTAGGTACAAGCCGTGCATGTATGGTTAGGCGAATGGAACCAACAGTTTTATCAATAATCGTACAATCAAGCTCGCAAAGGCGCAAAGGGTTGGAAAAAGATAAATAGATGCAGAAATAGTAAAGGCAGAAAGAGAGACGTGAAAGACGCGAAGAAGAAAGTGAGAGGGCGTTGAAAGTTGCAGAGAAAAACACGAAGAAGACGTGAAATGTACAGTGGTAGCGATCGATTCGATACGATTCTTTCTCAGCTTCCTCTTATATTTTTCCGTTTTCATTTTAGTCCACCTTTTCGTTTTAGTTCCTTGTGACTACTTCCGATTTTGCACCGCACACCCACGCACGCACACGCGCACACACACGCGCGTAGTCTCACGCACACGTTTGATTCTCGCGTGAGATCAAAGGGACCGTCTTGGACCCCGTTCGGTGTGTTTTTCTTTTCCCAATGACTGTGTATATGTCACTTTTGCCCCATGAAAAAATATTACAAGGAAAAAAAAGTCGGGTACACGATGATTTGAAAAAATAGAAAATCAGAGTGAAAGTAGTCCAGTTGTAGCTGCTCTAATGTATTCTTTTTTTTTATGGGGGACAACGGGCCCTTCTCGTTTCACGATTCTTTATCTCGGCGAGAACACGCGTTATGCGGTCGACAAAAATATGATGCGTGAAAATACGATCGACGGACCAGGTCGAATGCGAACACGTGAACGAAACAAATAAACGGACAAAGTCGCTCGATGACGATCGATGTGGATCGATTTGACTCGATGAAACGTCTCCTCCATAAGCTTGCCCAGCCCTGATCCGAATCTCGCGAGAAGCTTTTGTTTCTTTAACCAAAAGATGGGACCCGATGTCTCGCTTCTTGGAAAACAGTAGCGTCAACATCGGGGACCTCTCTTTTGCTGGATAAATCAAGAATTAAAACGAATGGGATTTACGAAAGCATTGTTTCCCTTTTCCATTATTATTTTTCACAGCATCCCGCCTTTTTATAATTCTTTAGCGAAAAGTCCCATCAGCCACGCGTGGATGACGATTTCTGTGATTGCTTCAAATCTGGAATTCGTTATTATTAAATCTATCCTCGGAATATTCGTACAAAACGATGCCTTCGTGAATACCAATCCTCTTAATTTTCGCTTTGTGTCCATCGTTTCGCTTGGCGAGTTAGTAGAAAGCTCGGAAAGCCTATAATCTTGCGTTAAAGAGAGAAAGAGAGAAAGAGATTTATTCGTAGAGACAGACAGATAGGTTCGTTGTGAAAAGAGCGAGAGTGACAAGGTGTGCGTTCAAGTGAAACAGATATTTATCTACGTGTCTATAGAAAATGTATGCGAGGAAACAGAATGATAGAAAGAGAAAAGTCAAAGAGAGAAGGCGAGCAAAGTGATCGACGACGCGTTGTCGTGGAAAAAAAAGATACAAAAAAAGAAACATGAGAAAGTGTAAAGAGCGATGTGGCGAGCGATGATATGCGCAAAAAAAAAAGTTTGCTTTGCGTTGCGGCACTTCATATCCACGCGAAAAAAAGAAAAAATTCGGTGGGCCGTAAATGTACACCTGGACAAAATGATAGGGCAATTTTCGAACACCGTGCACGAGTCTCGCAACAGGTGCCGTAAAGAAGAATGACTTTGCTTTGTGGCCGAGATATCGACCTCCGGAAATAAAGATTGTCGTTGTCGCAGCAATAAATGTATGCAATCTATCGTTTCGTCCAGGTGCGTATATTTCTGCGGGAGGGGGAATTCGTCGTTTCGAAAAGAAATTCGTAGAGAAAAAAGAAAGAAAATAGAGCCGATTCGAGTAAGGAGATAGGTGGATCACCGAGACAGGACTGACCAAGATTATACAGTAGAAAGTAAAGCTAAGAAACGTCATCGAAAACAGTAACGAAAGAAGGACTGTGTTCCATTTCTCACGTTCGTTATTCTCTCGAAAGTACAAGAAAAGAAGCGAGTGATCCTCTCGTTCGATTTCTGGTTTGCTGAAAAACCACTCGACGTGTTCTCCAAGAGAAACATCGTGAAAGAGAACTCAGAGAGAGACGTATGTACAGAAAGAAGGGGTTGTAACAACGAGAGACAACGCGAAGAGAGAAAGCCAGGGGGTTGGCGCCACGAGAAACGTGCGACTGACTGGTTGCTCTCTTTCTCCTCGCATTGTTCACCGTTTCTTTTTATCCGTTGATATCGGATATCTTTTTTTTTTTTTAATTTTCTCCTGTACCTCGTAGTCCCTTTTCCGAACTTCACGCTCCAAATCCCACTTCTGACCCTCACAAAGGTAGACGCGGTCGTAATACATTTGGCAAATCTCCTTCAAATCGTCTACAAAGAACATGGAGTGTCTCTCAGATATCTTCCATTCACGATAACGGTTATGTTCACTAAACAGCCAGGAGGCAACGAGAGGAAAGAGAGAGAGTTCTTCTTACGTTTCGTAAATAAAACGTTCAAATGCCAGAATAGTCGCGATTCGAAGTTGTAATATTTATTCATTCGGGATAAATGCAACACAGGACAGATGTGTATCTGTATTTCGGTTGAATTCTTCTAAACGCGTTCGGATCACTTTTGGAAATCTCTCTCTGCCGCTCTGCTCGGGCGATAATAAAAGTTGCGCGAAAGCCGAATGCCTAATCGCGCTGGTAAGTATATTCTCCTCGAGAAAATTGACACGAACGTGACCTGCTCTGAAATCTCTCCTTTTCGTTCAAATGGAAATCGTCCTATCGGCCTCCATCTGTACCGAAACGACACACGAGGCTGCCGCTACTTCGAAGCTTCGATCTCTGGCATCGGTCTGCGCTCGAGAATCGACCGGATCGGATACGCGAAATTGAACGAGGAAATCGATCGAGGATGCCAACGACGTTCCCGAACTACTCCTCGAGAAAGTAGTGTCCGACGAGCGAAGTTTCGAAGTAACGTCGACCTGGGGCGTTCGAGGGGCCGTGGACCGAACGTGGACAAAATTCTTATCCGGATCAAAATCTCCTGCGAGAAAAAAATAAACAGCTTTGGAATGGCATTCAGAATGGATTTGTTCCGTAGATAGATGTGTCAGAGAATGGAGATGTGTTTGAATTTGTTAACAAGTAGGATCGATGACACGAAAGATGAATTTTTTATTCGTTGTCTACATATCGAATGAGATTCGAAGCTTATCCAAATATCTATCGGGATCAATTCGAATTTTGCCCACCTCTGCCATCGACCACGGCCAAAGACGTGACAACGTTAAATGAAATCCCAAAAAAACTAAAAAAAAATTAAAAACGAATCACGAGGGAGGCCGAACAAGAATAATTTGCGCAGGAGGCGAGCCGATCGTATTTACCTCGAATTCTCTCAACCTAATTTGCCTCTCGAGGTCAAACTTATCGCCCTCGAGCGAGTATAGTCTGTTCCAATATGCCGAACAGATCGTCTGGAGCTCGGCTAAAAGCACAAAAGTTTCTCACAGAAGAGAGAGCAACATGAACAATGGGAGGATGTCGTCGGCCATCCTTCGCTGTAAGATTAAATTCTACTCGTGTCCTACTCGTTATTCTGTTTTTCGTGTCAAAAAAGAAAAAAAAAACAAGAAAGATCGTCGATCACGTGACGAAGTTCGAATTAAAAATGTTCTTACCCCGCGACAGCTGTTCCTACGAAATGGTTCCAGCGAACGCTCGCGACGCTGGCCTGCGATAATGATGCATAATCGCGGATAAGGGAAAAGTATCATGGGAAAACAGAGAGATTCTCGTATTGGAAGCAAGAAGCACGAAGCTGACAACTGCGCGTACGTTAACCTGACACGAAGAAAGGAAATTCGGGGAACAAAGTGGAGGGAACGTATTCACAGAGAACAGGATTATTGACTATTTTGCCTACGCGCAAATAAACGAAAGTAAAAAGAAAAAGAAACGAAACATAAATGATAGTTGTTCTACTTCAAACCGCTCACGAAATAGGCGTTACGTGTATTATTTCAACGTCTACTGGCTGGCGATTCTACGCTTCGCGCGTGCCTGCTGTTGGTTTTGTTCTTTCTAGTTTTACGATACGCTCTACCAAAAAAAAGTGTTGTTTTTCTTATGTTTCTTTCTAAACTATAGTCAGATAATTGGCGAGTACTACGTTAGAGTTTGGTGCAAATTAGATTGATATCAGCCTCGATGCCTAAGTTCAACGATCGTTAAGTAACAGCCGAAATCCTTTCAATCCCATCAAACGGAAACAAAAAAAAAAGAGTGATTACTCAGCGTTGTTTGCGCTTAGCAAAAATTCCTTGCGTACTAATGAGAAAAAAGATTCAGAGGATCCAGAAAAGAACCCCCACCCAAAAAAAAAGAAAAAGAAAGAAAGATGTTTATCTATTTTTGTATCGAAAAACGTTTCGACCTCGAAATCCTTCTTGGCGACTTCGTACTCAAGGTCGTACTTCTGCCCCTCGAGAACGATGATCCTCTTATGATACTGGGTCAGAACGGACTTCACGTTAGCTGTCAAAATTCGAAGTCATCTTGAAAAATACTCCACTTGACGGGGGCGCAGCGATCGATTTTAACCGACGCGTCTACTCTACTGTTGTTCTTTTCACCCTCGTATCGATACCAACGAATCAACGCGCGCTTTCTACGCCAAAGGTACCGAGGTGCTCGTAATCGTACAAGTAAACAAAAGTAAAAAAAAAAAAATGAGCTACACCAAAATATCTGTCCGAAATCGTGGTAAACTCAATTTATTCTCTACGCTTACACCAGTACGACTCATTCGAACCCTCGAATGTAAACAAGGTGAATATATCAAACGATTTCGTTTATTGGTGTCTCGCCGACGAGCAAACGGACGGGGACAACGTGTAAAAGCAGGGTGTACAAGTGTGGCAGAGAAACCGGCGGTCAAAAAGCTGAACGAAAACTGACAACGACGTAACACGGTGCGAGTTGTTGCTTTTTCGGCGAGCAGACAGTTCGTATGATCGAGCTGGATCCTAGAAGAGGTGCGTTCGATCGCAAATCGCGAGCAAAAACGAGAACTGGTTTGCTTGATGCGACAACATAAAAAGCAAAAGTAAATATTACGTTTGGGGGCTGGGGGGTGTTGCGGGAAGCAGGGGGGTGGGGCTGAGGGGACATGTACGTCGAAACCAACTTTCACCTCGAAACCAATCGTTTGCCAAATTAATAACGTAAGTAATTACGCCGTTACGAAAAAAGTATAGCGTGTATGCGACAATTTGTGAGAGCACAAGTTAATGTAATACGTGAATAATCCACGACTTTGTCAGATTACGAAAAAAAAAAAAAAAATGTAAAAAGGACGACGTGATAGCATTAAACGAAGAGCGAAAGACGTAGATCGCGCGCACAAAAGAATGCGAACAGAAAAGTGTGCGAAAAAAAAATAGTATAGAGATAGAGAGACAGAGAAAGTATAGCTGTGTTATGTGAAACAGTGAGAAAGTGAACAATAAAAAAGATGTATTCGAAAAAGAAAAAAAAAGACGAAGAGACGAAATGCGAAGCTCCGCGACACTTGCCCGGGTTGCTGGAAAGCAAAGAGGTTTGGCAAAGAGCAGCTCGATTAGGGTTGAAATGGTCGTCGATCGCTCGTGACGATGGACGATTAAATCGATCATGAATCAGTGGTGTGCCACTGAAGTACAACCGTTAATTTAATCGAGGATCGTCACGACTGACCAACGTTTAACTTGATTTACTAAATGATTAAATCAAAGTTTGGTGGTTCGTTGTATCGCGAGAATAGAACAATTATGAAAACAGTGTTCCGGCTCTAAATAAATTCGTAAATTGTTCAACCCTCGTAGTAAAATTAAAGCCTGATTTTACGACGAGGATTTCAGTTGGAAAATCGAAAGTATAAAAATACAAGTCGCGACAATATAAATACTCCCTCGTCGCCGTATAAATAAACGCAATGTTACCCTTGCGTAATCGTCAGTCCAACCGTTTCGAGCTCTTTGCCAAACGCACACGAGGATACGCGGTTCCCTCGACATCGACGATGAATTGCAACCGAGCAAGCGCGGTACTCAAATGCAGTGATTCTTAACCACTATGTCGCGGATGTTTGGCAACAGTCTAATGAACTGCTTTATGGTTTTTTTTTAAACTGCGTGTGTAATTCAATGACGGAAGTTTGGTCAAAAGCAAGCATCAGTTTAACCTCTTTCTGTATGAATTTCAATTCACAGTTCAAAATATTTTTGCCTCTTTTTAGATCGATGCTCTATTTATTCAACGCGTTTCATTAAGAACCAAATAATACGCAGTTGAAGGTATACTTATATTTCAACTGATATTCGATATAAACCAAACTCGATCCTCCATTGAATGTATTACTGAATTCTCGTCATTGAAATTACTCTTGATCGAAACCCGTGCCAGGTTATTTCCCTCTGCACTGTCTCCTCGTGAAACGTGTGGTTGCAAAGGTTAAGAACCACTGCTCGAATGCCAACAACATTGAGCATCGTTGTTACTACAGTGTTCGTGAACGCCTCGTTATTCGCAACGTCCCGTAACGTTCTCGCAACTGTTCTTTCTTTCAAGTACCTCGAAGTCCTTCTTCTTAACAACATATTCGAAGTCGAATTTTTGCTCCTCCAATGCTGTGATCCTATTGTGGTACTCGCGCAGCACGCGCTTCAAGGTCTCTGTGTGGATCAAGGTGAAAAAGATCGGACAAAATTCATCATACTCATTCAAACACGAGGGGCTAGCGATCTGTAACGATTTCGTCAAGTCGTGTCGTCGAGTCGTGTCCCGTAGACATTCTTCATCGGTGTGAGTATGTGTGCGTGTATTCCTTGTTATCCACGACGTTGGCGGGAATCATCGAGGGGAGATTCTAAACTCGTGAAACGATTCGAGTCTCGGTTGTTAACGAGATCTTTAAGATAATCTGAACTTACAGTCTGATAAATCCCATCTACGGAAACGTGAGGAAAGACCGTCTGCAAAGAAGCGGATGAAACGAGCGGAAAACACGATCGATACGAACGAGTTTCTACTATCGATGAATATCTATTCGCATATCTCACCGAAACCGAAAAATAAAGGCTACCCAGACGAATAACAATCGTTCAGATTTCGATCGACCTGCGGCGTGGTCTTGATCTCGACCTTCCGACCCTGACGTTATTTATGCGTCTAACTCGTACGGACGAATAACCGAGAATAACGCGATTACGTGTTATATTCGAGCGAAACAATGTTTTGTTTTGAAAAGCATCGAAGTACCTTCGCTCGCGTTGTCGGTGTCCTTGGGCTTTCCGCAGCGTTCCTCGATGATGCGCCTCCTTTCCGCAGCTTTTCTCTCTTGTTCTTTCTTCAATTCCTCGGCGGCTTTCTTACGCAGCAACAACTGAAAAGACCAATTAGACACTTGTAAAAATTGTAGATGAACCACGATCGACGACGTTAAACAGGTGCGAGGAGTTGCGAGTTCGCGACGCTAATGGTACAGAGGATGCGATGAAAACGTAAAAGCGCGACACTTTGTACCAGAAACAAAGGAAAGAATTAAAAGTAAGTTGTAAAATATAATGGCTTTGTAATCCCTCCTAGCTGAAAATTTATAATCTCTTTAACGATCGAAATTTTGAAAGCGAAGGGAGACTCGTAGCGTTTCGTGACCGGGCACGGAACTTTGTTCGAGTGATAATTAAAAGTCCGTGACTCGGTAAGAAATAGCCAAAGAATAGAAAGGCGAACTTACCCTAAGCTTCTTCTTCCTGTCAGGGGTCATGAAACCCTTCTTCGCCTTCTTGGCTTTGGAAGCCTCTTCGAGGCGGGCGCGGACCTCCGCCCTCTTTCTGTCGGTCTCCGCCTGTTTCCTCTTCTTTTCCTACATTTTCCGTGCGAAACTCCCTTAAAACATCTCATCTGACAACGGTTCGAGGCAACGTACCACGGCGAATCTCGAAAGAACAGTCCGCGGAATAAAAATATAACAAATAATATATACTGCTTGGCAAAATAAACCAAATAATAATTGCAGCGTGTACGAACGTAATCCTTATGAAACTTTTGCTTTCGATTCTCTTCACAAAATATTCCAGAAGAAAGACAGCTTCAGCGCGTGACGAGCACGCAAACTAATGGCGCCACTCGTTTATGTGCTCGTTATGCGTCGAAGTCCGATTTAAATCCAACTTTGGAAGCTATTATGCCGAAGAGGACCAAAACCATCGTTTGGAACGTTTACCGAAGCTATGCTTCCATGCTCTACTCTTAAGTTAAACGATTGTACAAAAAGGATCATTAATTCGTTGCTCCCGTTAGCGAATCGTCGTGACAAAAAAACGGCTTAAACGATTTCCAGAGTTTCCCCTTAATGCGAAAGTAGCAAGTCGTTCGATTAGCCTGGACTCGACAAGTTATCGAAAAAGTTCCCGGAACGATTGTCCTTTTTCAGCTCGACTTTAAGGTTCGTCGATAGTTTCCCCTCTTACGTACATCCTCGAGACGTTTCCTCTGTAAAGAAAAAGAGACAGCGGTGGTGAGCGAAACTTTTCTGGCCAATTCTCCGCGGGGGCGGGAAAACGAAACAACGTTTAAACGCGGACGATGAATAAATAACGCCCTCCGCGCGGGAGCATGGAAATGTTTCAAACGGTGTTTCGTGTTCCGCGTTCGAAAGAGCGCTGAAGCGTTCGGAAAGCTATACTGTTCGCGTGATTTTGCGGCTGCATGGAACGCTGGTGCAATATTTTTTAGCGAATTATCATAATTTGCGCGCAGATTTTAAGACCTTTTAGTCGTTCTGACTGGTGGTCAGCATGCAGTGATTTGTACATATCTGTAAAATAGGCGATCGTTTCCTTATTTTCTCGAAAATATTTAAAATTATCATCTGTATATAATAGACAGTTATTGACGCTGTAGTTTTGGTGCAGGAGATCACTTAGTTCACAGAGTATGTAGACATTTGTACCAAAAATCGAACTGAAAAATATTCGCGTATAACACGTTAAATAACAAAGCGTGAGGGGCATGCTGGCGAAACAGAGAAGGACGTCACAGGTCGCAGGACGCATAGATATTGTGTCTTTCATGCGACTATGGTATCTACATTACCCCAGGTTTTTTCTGGTTATCTACGTTGCTCGTGCTTGGAGTTCTAGACTATCGCTACGGAGTCTTTGCTACTGACTGGTCTTAGTTATATCAGTGGATACGTAACGATTGTTAAACGTCTCTATAAAAGGGAAATCGAACTGCACAGAAGAGTAACGAGGTATGCTCTATATTCTCATAAAAGATGAAAATCGAGGTGCATTATAATAATATTGCATACGGCAAACTTCTTTTCCCTCCCATTTCTGGATGCTTTCGTATTGCGCACGCGAATTGTAATATTTTCTGATCTCGAGATATCTTCTGTGCCAATTCGAATACAAAACGGAAAAGGAGCCGGGTGAACGACGAGAGAAAAGGTTCCTCGAGTCGAGGAGTACGAGAATATAAACGTACAGAGATATCGTAGAGGAAAAAGTTACGGAAACCGTGAAATAAAATGAAAAGAAAGGAAAAGGTCGGGACACGTCGAGAGAAACGCGGTGGTAAATAATGTTGAAATAAGGACAAGAGTGTGACAATAAATCAAAGCAACCCAACAGAATCAACCGACATGTCGACTTTAATACTTCCGGATCTATCTCTTCCGTTCCCGGCTGGGTAATATTTTACGTTTATACTCGGAGGAATCCACTCGTGGTCTCCCGAAAGCGAGATCTTAACGACTACCGAAACTTTCAACGACTCTTTCTACTTTTATTTATCGAGTCATAGACCGTGGATAGATTTGCAAGTATTTGTTAAATTCGATTCAAAACGACAATGATAGATTCTAACGATGAACTGAAGACGCTTCAAATTCCCCGAATAAAAAAGTCTATTTAAATGAAGATTACGAGACTTTAATAAACCCGATACGAAAGCGATTCAACAGGATTTCACTTTGAAAATGGAGAAGAGGGAGACGGGAAAATAGAAACATGAAAAATAGGAATTTCACGCAGTTCCCTCGTGAAAAACAAATAGGAAACACAGTCAGAGTTAACTGCAACGAGGAGTGGACTGTAACGATCTCCTCGTTATTCTGTGAGACGTGAAACTACTGTCAAACTTTGTGGTCCACTGTCGACCACTTTTCACGTAGGCACGTAAATTTTCTACTGTGAAAATAGGGTACATCGATTTCGGTAGAGTCCCGATTCGATGCAAGCTTCTCCGTCACTGGAAGCTTCTTTTGCTCGAATGTTAAGTATCGGACAAAAATATGGATCGATCCGGAACAAAATGCAAAAATTCGTTCGTAAAAACAGTCACTCTTGTTTGCTCTGTTACGTATTCGTCGATAACAGGGTTCAGAATAAATCCATCCTTGGACTTTCCAGAGTAATGTCTCTGTTTATTGAAACTACTTTTGCAATAGGTGCTCTACGTTTCGTTTCATACTTCAAGTACGTTTAAAGTTATTCTTAAAGAGATTCCACTTCTGGAGAGTTCAACGACGAATCTGTTCTTGAGAAAACACAAAAAGGTGAAAAAGCCTGAATATAAAAAATTTCCAGGCACATGTACGGATTAATTAAATTGTTGCTCGAGTCTACGACTAAAGGGAAACTCTATATCGAGGGGAACGTCGCAAGCACAAAGCACACGAGCGATGCGTACCTTTCAAAGACATTAATTTTACTGCTCGATCCAAGAGGAACAGGCAGATCCGTTGTTCGCCATTTTTACACAAAATCGAGATTCAGTGCGCGCAGAGCGGTGTCCGTGAACGAAGAGGCATAAAATGGGGAGAGAAAAAAAATGTTAAAACTCTCACTGATGGATCTTTCGTAAGATCGTAAAGTAAGATCATGTCATCGTCCCATCGTGGAATCTTTTCGATACCCACCTAACCTCATCGTCCGCCATCGTTGTACCTGGCTGCTACACGCGTCTACCTAAAAACACAGGTTATTCTCGTTTTTTGTCTTTACATAATGCACAGAGGCTCGAATGGGCGCTCGTTTACGATGACACGGATAAACGAGCGGACTGCAAACATTACGAGATTGTTAAAAATAAACGCGCGAGGACAGGAGGGGGTCGAGGCGAGGGCGACATGTGTCGGAGGATCTCCCGATTGCGTCACCTGGATAAATTTTTCTTTCGACTCGGTCAGTGACAGTCGTTCCTGCGGATCCGCGCGATAAATCATGCGTCCCTAGCGTAAATTTTCGCCGGCTTGCCGCGCCGTGCACGGACAGCGACGACGGTGTAGAATATCCGGTGCTCGAAAATAGACACGCGTCCCCACCTTCCCCGACGTCGACGTCGACCGTCGTCGGTGCTGCACGACGATCCAAATTTGGACGCGAACGACCCGGTAGATCCTCGAGTTCTCCTCCACTTCGACTCGATTCGACGTCGAAAACGGAAACCCGAATCGAACTGGACTTTTCTCCCGTTACCTTATTTTCAGACACTCGACGACGCTAACCACCATCTTAAAATTCCAGAAAGGGACGAGATCTAAGGTGCAGAAAGAATTACGTCGATGCATGAAACGACTTCGCGTTTGCTCTTTATAGGACAGTTTTTCTTTCTAAACGAACTTGGCTAATTGATTTTGACGTAATCAAAAATTGTTTATTATACAAGTGACGTTTCGAGCATCATGATCCATAGCCTCCTTCGACTGAACCTAAACTCTAAAGTCATATGTAAGAATAAAATTCATGAAAGTACGTACAACTTTTGCTATATCTAGTTGCATATAACTTTCAAATGTTTATTCGCCAAAAAGATGCGCGTACACCTTGTCGAATCAAACGTCAATTTCTATAGTAAGCATAGATCAACACCGAAGCCTTACCAATTAGCAATCAGTACCAATTACCAATCATTTCAACGAAAAATTCGAAATTGTTATATTACCACAAACGCTGACACATTTCGAGATCCTTGGGGCCCGTCGAAGGAGGAACGCTTCTTCTCGAAACGCGTCAGCGATTAGAAATAAAGTGGTTAAATTTAGAAACCGGGATACAGTTATTTTTTCCAACTTGAAGCAACATTCTCCTCGAGGGAAAACAATCAGAGAGTTTGCGAGCCAGTGGAAAATAAATACAAAATTTAAAGATATAAAACATTTGCACGATATAAATATTCGAGAGCACGTACAAACAGTTCATTTAGTAAGATGGAAATGAACGATATTCGTGATCAGAGAATGCACGAAAAAATATGTAGGCGATAGCAGCAATTATCGGCAACGTTACACGGTATAAAAGACGAGGGAGTCGTTGGCAAACTAGATCGCGCTCAGGGAGCCCGAAGGTAATTGATTTCCTTGGCGAACGTCTTACGTGCCGACGTAGGAACGATGACGAGTCGGATATAATGTTTCAAAATAGCTCTCAAATTTACTGCACGCGTCGATTGTACAACCTATTTTCGCGGACGTTTACTGCGCTCGGTAATGACATTAGACTCTATCGATCAACGAAGAGCGCCCGTGAGTAGAAATTGCGCTAATACTTGGAAGGTATTCCCAGAGTGTATTGAGCCCTTGCCTCATCCTTGACTCGTTCATTAGAAGACACGAAGGGGGCTAATCTCGATAATTTTGCACTCGATCCTGCTCCACTCGTATTAAGTATTATAGGGAAGAAAGTATTCAGAATATCTAAGATTCCAGAATCCTATTAAACGAGCATCTAAAGCGAATCGCAGTGAGTTAACCCTTTGCACTCGAGGCCTTTTTTTCTGGTATCTATCAGCAACTCGAGATGCTTTCTTAGCATTCTATTGCCACGAATGCTGAGCTTGATCAGGTCACCGTTACCTCGCCGACAATCATTTTATCGACACTTCAAGTTCCGAAGAAATTAAACCTAAACAAACATTATTGTTGGTCGATTTATTGCGTCAAACTTAATGATGACCGAGAGTCACGTCTCGAGTGCAAAGGGTTAACAACGTTTTGTTCTCAGCGAGGGAGTCTCAAACCCTTTTCTGTTCCCCTCGACTACACGTACCGGTAAATAATTCCAGAGTATCGTGAAAAATCCGTTGACAGGAATTTTATTCGATCACTGGTGAGCGATGTGACGCGTCTCCTTTTATATTTGTAATGGATGATCGCCTTCGCTAAGTATAGATTCCCTCTCGCTCGAGCCATTCCAAGACTCGTCCCACCAAGACACCGATGTGTGTCTCGTCTCCGATGTCAAAGAAGATCCCGGCACCGTAAAAATAGAAAACACGCAGAATCTACCGCGAACGATCTATGATACTCCGCGGTCGATCCTTGTTCGACGAGGATCAGGATCTACGTGCTCCCCTTTCTAGAAACCAGGAATGCGGTGATGCATAGCGAGCTACTTCCTTTCCTTTTCGTCGCGGCAAAATTGAGAAAAATTGAGAAAAATGGAGAAAAGTCGAGAAACGACGGGAAGAATAGCCACGCGAGGAGAGGAACGTTTGACTTCGAATCTAAGTCCGAGGATTGGCAAGTCTTCCTCGAAAGAGAAGAGAGAAGCGGCCGCAGAAGTTATATTTGTCGAAGGGAATATCGCTAACCACGACGAATACTGGCACAAGGCTGTTTACGCGGATCCGCGTGGACTCTCGCCTCGCAACCGAACCAACGCAACGAAACGGCTCGTTTCTCCGATAAAACGTTGGCGGCCATTTTCGAAATCGTTGAAGCATGCAGCAAAGACGGAATAGTTACTGACGATGGAATGATATTACATCGTTTTCCACCTCGTTGTGGGTCCTCGGTGCATTTATAAATATACATGTTTGGGAGTAATGCTATCTACTAATCTATATCATAAAGTCACAGTAAACGTAACGAATCGAGTTGAAAATTGACGCGTGATGAGCCCCGAGTTCAAGAAGGATTCTCACTATTTCACTGGACGGAATAGTGTTCAACTCTGTTCAAACCAAGACGCCTAAAAGTCGCCTACGTTTGAATAATTCATTCGCTCACACCAAAATAATAACGGAAACAAAGGGCAAAAATCATCGAGTAGGTTCGCAAGATCGAGAGGCACCGGCAGGCGAGATTTTCGGCACAGTAACTTACTCGACGAAAAGGGCAACTAGAGAACATCGAGAACCACGAGGGTTCCTGTCACTCGGGGTGGGCTCGCGTCACACGCAGAATCTCACAACGGACGGAGAACGTCACAATTCCTCGAGGACTTTGGAACAAGTCGAGCAACACACTCGTGACCTTGAAAATAGTCTCTCCGTTAAGCACCTCTCTCACTGACACTCGATACGACGAAAAGGGGAAGTCACGTCGGTCGTTTCGAGGAGCGGAAATCTTCGAGCAGCGTCCGGTACGCGGTTTTCCTGAAGGAGTCACGTAGAGACGCGTTCCAGGCGGGGTCCGTTTCGCTCGAAGAACGACGAATTGGCTTACCTTGAGAAGAACTTTCCTGGCTGCGACTGGCCAACCGGACCTTAGGCAGCTGACTGTGCCATCGTGGATCCCTAGTCCACGTCGCGAACCTCCGTCGTAGGCTGTTCACGTGGTAGCCGTCGACCAATGACGGCGCGCCATTGGTCGTAAGCATTTTTAGGCGAGAGCTCTGCCCGCTCTGCCTGCTGCCAAAAATAATCGGAAACTGAAAACGGAGCCGAGGCCCGCTTCGTTGCTCCGCTCGGCCGCGAACCACGATCTCTCGGTTGCCTTCCAACGCGCTTGATTAAGTGTGTTAATCCGGCAGGTATGCGTGTCGAGAAGAAAGCGGGGCTTCCTCGTTTCCCTCTCGTTCGAGTAATGAAGATCGATTGTACAGAGAAAACAAGAAGACGTGCCATTTAATTGGCACCGTTCTCACGTTTTTCGTGGCTCTCGATCATTTATGGTATTTCAGCTGTCACGAACGGAGCGGTCGCTTTGACGTTTCGATCTCGTGGTTTAGGATCGGGCCAGGGCAACCTTTCCTCGGGGGCAGAGTAACATTTTGTCTTTGAATTAAAGGCTAGAATGAATTATTAACCCTTCGCACTCGAGAGGTGACTCTCAGTCACCATTAGGTTTCACGCAGCGAATCTACAATACCTAATGTTTCTTTAGGTTTAATTTCTTTGGAGCTCCAAGTGTCGATAAAATGGTTGTCGGCGAAGTAAAGGTGACCTTATTTTCAAATCTAGATAGCTTAGAATTCATGGCAATAGAATGCTAAGAAACATCTCGAGTTGCTGGCAGATACCAGAAAAAAAGGCCTCGAGTGCAAAGGGTTAAAAAAAATATATTTATATTAAATGGATTGGAACGAGTTGCTACTTCGTACGTCATACATTTGTAATATATTGCTTATGTGGCTTGAATCTTAAAAAATAATATATTTGTGGTTTAAAAATTGTAACTCAATTTAAATTACTGCAATAAGATTCTGGCTATTTTCAGCAATCACAGCGATACAACAAACATTAACATTTTTAACATGATTCTAACTTTATCTAAGCTCTATCTATATTTCTGATTTCAACAAGCACTTTACAGACAGTCTCATAAATATTCGTACCCTCTACGTCTATTAAAGAAGTTTGTCTAAATTCAATAATAGATTCAATGTCTTCAAATAAATTTTGTATTATGTATGTACGAGTGTAAAATCTATCCATGCATATATTTATAATGAAAGATTTATTTGAAAACATCGAGTCTATTATTTAATTTAAACAAATGCCTTCAATAAACACAAAGGGTACGAATATTTATGGGACTGACTGTATGTGCCTAACGTTTGGACCAGCGACTTCAGTACACCCTGTATAATGATTTTCGACACGAATTTAAATCTTCCAAAAAGAAATGAACTCTATTTTCGTAGATAGAAAGTTATACTTAGCATTCGTTTATAGGGAATGGGAAATGTGTTTCTGCGCGGCACGCCTCGCGTCTGGTTTACTTTCATATAACAGAGGATAAGTATCGCCATTGGTACAAATTTTTACTCCTTCCACCGATCTAAATATTTTGTTTCTCGGAAGTTCCGATCGTTAAACGCCAGAAAATTGGTTACGTTCTGCAACGAGATCGCCAGCTTTCTCGTTCGACGACGATCCTCGATCGCTCGGATTCGATTGCTCGTTGTTGATAGAGCTCGTATAACATGTGTTAGGATTTAGAAGTCGCAGAAATCGTAAGAGTATATCGGAGCGCGTTGAGGCAGAACGAAGATATTATTAACGGATCGTTCTGGATTTCGTGCGCGGCAGCTGTTTGGCACTAAACGAAGTAACGCTGACGGAAACATCGCCGCCTGAACGTAACACTTACGATCGCACTCGATATATAATATCTTCCTCGAATCTCGATGAGATCTCCGACCTCACTGATTGGACTCCTTAATGCAGCCCAATCTTAATGGAAACCGCTAACTAGAAGACGTTCCCTTACAAACGCGATTCCCCTGGCAAAGACAGCTATTCAAAGCAGGCAATAACACGTAAACGTTTGAGCGAAGTTCGATCCATTTAATCAGCGGCGAATATTAACCCTCGATGCGAACTTCCCAAAAGCAAATTGTTTCCTATAAAGATAACCGAGGACATTTCCTCTATGAAGAATAAGTCATCCTTCTCTAGGCACACCCTACTTTGGAAAACGGTATCTCAAGGTACCCCAATTGCAAGTATAGTAGAGACTCCCGTATCCGAACTAATAGGGAGACAAAAGTGGCCCGATAATAACAATTAGTTTCTTTCGCATTAAAAATCATTTATTCAAGTAGTAATGAACAAAATTGAGTTTCTTTCAACATCTAAAGGTCCCATACCCAGTTACCAATACGATTACATTACGATAAGATTACAATCGTAATCACTTTGATTACAATTATTAATCATAATCACAAATTTGATTGCGATTACAATCATAATCACAAATTTTTCTGTGATTACGATCGTATCCTTAGAAGTTTTCAGTCATACAAATTTTTTATCTCAAAACCGATCTCAGATTCGTGTTCCTCACGCCAAAAAAACTTAGAAAACCATGCTTTTATCAAAATCAAAAATTAAACATTTTCAGTTAAAATAATTCATGCCAATAGAGTAGGGCATAGATAGGGAAATTTAAAAAAATTTTTAATTTTCATGAAAGCGTATGGTTTTCTGAGTTTTTGGAGCGAGGAACACGAATCTCAAGTCGGTTTTGATATAAAGAATTATCTATGACTGAAACCCCTAAAAATACGATCGTGATTTCAGACAAATTTGTGATTACGATTGTAATTTTATCGCAATGTAATCGTATTCGTAATCACAACTCTGAAACATTTGATTACAATCGTAATCGTAATTATGATTACGATTATGTCCAACACTGTCCATATCATTTTAGCCGCTAAGTCACATAAATTTTGTATTCTAAACAGCTGCGTAGAATTATATTCCCGTTGTGTCTCAAACCATAGAAGTCCTTTTCCAAACGACTCAAATGCTTCGATATGAGGAGGGACGTTGTGCGGATAACAGAACATACGGATAATAGAACGTCCGTATATTAGGGGATTCGGATAATGGGGGTACGAATTCAGGAGTCTCTACTGTATCATAAAATTCCTCAAAGATTCCACTTTACTCCTTCCTTATTTTTTAACTGCTTCCTGTAAAATCACCATACAGACACGTCATACGTCTCTTTTAAGTGGAAATAAATCTCCCCGACTTTTGAATTTCGTGAATCGATGAAAATATTTCGAATGCTATAAAAAGTGGCATCTATTTGTAGAAACCAGTTTACACGGTGTACCGTCGCAGCCGTGCAGTAATCGAGATACTCGTCGACGTTGAAATCACATGGCTAAAGTAGGGAACGGTGGGTCAAGTAGAATGGCCACGTTTCCGCGGACAGGTAGTGCGTATCGACGATTCGTCGGGCAGACGTTGATAACGCAGAGCCCTGTGGATGTTTCGGAGGATCGATGCAACGTACGAAAGATGGCGGAAGCGATTTTGGGGCGAAAAATTGTTAATTTAGAGGTAAAAACGGACCACGAAACCGTTAAAATTGAATAGCAGAGGTTTGAAACAGAATATACATAGTAGAATACAAACTTCTGGTCCTATTCTATGTATTTATATAGGTAGGTACAGAGATTTTCTATTTATTCTTAATCACGTTTAGAATTGTGCTTTGGCTTGTGTTCTGCTGTCCACCTTCTGCGAAAAGCTGTATCTTTCTGTTTCGTTATAATTTAGCAATTCATAATAGAAGATATAATAAAAGATATAATGCAAACATTTGAAACAGCTATCCATCTTCGCGCTATGGAAGTTTACAACTGGCTTCAATGGGATCACTCGGAGCGACGCGATGCGTGACTATTTAGAAGAATTTTTAGCTAGAAAAATTCAAAACGTTTATCGGAACTCGACAATCTACTAGAAACCGGGAATTCCATCGATACAATTCCCACAGAATTTACTTCCAATATCGGGGACACGCATGAACGGCAGTCAAAGTTCATCCATGCGAGCGGACATAATTGATTTTCCGCTGGTCTTCGTTGTCTTTGCGGAAAAGGAAAATTGTCTAAAAGTGTGGTCCCGATATACCATGGTACACCATATCTCCCGTGAATCAGTTTCACGGTAGTTTATTAATTAATGTATAGAAAGAGGCAAACCTCGCGAGGCAAATTAAAGACCAATTTCGGAAATCTACTATTTTAACACGTTGGCTGTCAGGCTAAAACCCGTGAAATTCCTACAAAGTTAAAACTTCGTCTCGAATATTATTTAACGTCGTCACGAATCCTACCCAGATTTATTTTTATTATCACCTCACCCTTTGGAATTATTACGTTTCACTTTCTTAATGAAAAGTCCTGTCACTCACTTCTAGCGACCAATGTGTTAATTGACGACGAGAAGTATATTATTCTCAGTTATCAATTTTTTCGAACTAACGAACGAAGACGATACCTTCGTGAAGAAGGGACGACAATTGTATGTCTCTCAGATACCAACCCCCTCACTGCCTGCCAAATTCTTATTTGGCATAGAAGTATATTAATGGTTTAAATATATTCACCCCAAATACCGAGAACGTAACGTAGTTTAACCCCGAGATATACACACGTGCCTGAAATACGTTAGAGTCCTGTCGTTAAGTCTATTTAATACCTAAAGCCGCTATTAAAAGATTCAAACCTTCCGCGGCCCTGATTAGAGACCGACTAATGTGAAGGTTATTAAAAATATCTTCCACGGTACAGGAACGGCACACGAGGGGTGGATTGACTGGTCGCGGGGAGGCATTGGGTGCCAGATAGTGGTGGGGCAGCTCTGAACCAAGTGTGATTAACCCGGCGTCCCTGTTGCCACGACAACGATCCCGTGACGTCACGGGACAAGCCGGGGTTTATGGGTGACCTACATTCCAAAAATAGCCATCACCGACCTACCAACCCTCTCCTCCGCGCCGCTTTTACCACCTCTTTCTCCTTCTCCAACCACTGTCGCCTGCTGAACCACCATCCCCGTCATCGTGTCCCAACCTCCCTCGAGTTTCACCGAG